AATATCTTTTATGCATATCAAAATCTTTATGCATAAGATGGTTATTCATTAGCTATCGTTAATCAATTTAATACTAAAAGAAAACTTGATACTATTTTGAATATAGAATTTTAAGACTAATTTATTTTTAAAAAAATTGAAATTTTTTATGATTGTTCTAGAAAAAAAAATACTAATTACAAGATACCTAAAAGTATTCAAGTAATATACTTTTTTTCATTTTTCAAAGTTCCTTTATATTCATCATCCTAACTAGTTCCTTCTGTCTGTATTCTCCTCAAAAACGTCCTATTTACTCTAATATTCTATCTTTATATGACCATTTATCTTCTATATAACTAACTAATAATTATCAATTTTGTTTGACATTGGATTTATTGATCTAATCAGTCAGTTAAGGTTTCTCATAAAATAAAATTTATGTCTCTTTTTTTATCTTCAACTTGATTTTCGTCGAAGCGCGGATGGCTTGACCAAGACAAATTATAGTAAGTTTTATATTTTGGTTGTTATCAACTAAATTTTTATTACTCATGTTGATAGGACTTTTTATTTTTATATTTTCATTTACATCGTATAGTCTTTGTTATTGTAGACGTCTTTTTCACTTGAGTACAACTTTTCTAAACAAATATCATAAAGATGATTTGTTATTTACTTTATGAAATCTGCTTGTAGCTACCATTTTTCAGATTTTATTGCTTTCACTTTTGATTTTAGCAGCACATAATCATGGATTATGATCGTTTGCAGATTTCTATCCACTCAGATGTCGCAAGCCGGAAACAGAGATGCAGCGAGAAGATGGAGGAGCTGAAGAATACACAATTCTCAAGTGCACAAGATGCAGCTTCACCACTACTGCATAAAGAACTTGTTGGGGAGAAAAATATTATGATTTTTGAGCTTTATGATGCTGTTGAAAAGGGGGATATGGATAACTTTGTTGATGTGTTGGGGAAAGAATGTGCAAAAAGGAAGGTTCCTTTGTCTGATATTTTTGATCAGGTAACAGGAGCAGGTGATTCACTGCTTCACGTGGCAGCAGATTTGGGGAGTGAACAGATTGCAGAGTTGATTTCTGGTCACTTTCCTGAGCTTCTTACTAGGAGAAATGTGAGAGGTGATACTCCACTTCATGTTGCCGTGAGGTCCAAGAACTCCACTATAGTCAAGCTTATTCTGTCTCAGTATGCCATACAGAAGTCAAAACACGATGGTTTCAAGGATAAAGAGATAACAAGAGAAACAAATGAGTATGGGAATACTCCTTTACATGAAGCTGTCTATAGTGGCCATTTTGGTGTGGTTGAAGAGATTTTACATGCCGATGAGCCTGTTGTACATTATCTGAACAAGTCCAGGTCTTCACCACTGTTCTTGTCAGTCATGAGTCCCGATGTGAAAATTTTGAATCTTCTGTTGTCAATTCCCTTCCCTGCTGATCAACCACTTCCACAGTGTTTTGGAAACTCTCCACTCCATGCAGCTATTCGAAAAAGGAATCCTGGTATTAGTTCTTCACACCAAATGTTTGGAAAATGTTACTTTTAGAATTTTCTGAATATGCTTGTGGTGTATGTTAGAGTGTATCAACCACACACTTATAATTTATAGACTCACTTATTGATTTTTCACCTACAAAGCCATAAATGTAGCCTTAGCCTTAGACACTATTTATTTTTCATTATTTTCTAATAACCACAACATTAATCTACTCATCCTTGTACTCGGAAAGCGAAAAAACTCTTAAACAAATATACAATCCAATTAAATCTATAAGTTTATCCTAACAAAACTCCTTCTTAATCTTAAATGTTTATTTTTTCATTCATCCAGATTTTTCCAACTACATCAACCCGGACCAAGATTTTTAACAATTTTTTTAACAATTTTTTGACAACGGATTATATGTTACTATTTTATTGGTTCGTATATTTAAAACGAACCAATCACAAGTTGTCACATAAGCGGTCGTAAAAAAGTTGTCAAGAAATGTTGTTAAAAAAACATTCCTTTCTTTATTGCTTTGAATGACTTGTTCCTGATAATCGGGTTCCTCTTATCTTTATTTTCATCTTTTGAAACTCTCTCTTTATAACAATCAATGTTTTCTCCAACGAAAAATACTGTAATCCTTAGCGTACCAATCCAGAATGACGACCCTTCCTCTTTGAATCTCTCTCCAACAATAGTGGTGTAGAGTAGATAACAACAATACTGCCTTGTATAATAAGGCCTCAGACATTTTCGTTCCACTACTTTGGGCAATCATACAATGTTCCACACTTTTGTATTTCCCATTGCTTATTACTTCAATTTAGTCACCAAGATTAAAAACAATGGAATGGTGCATGGGAGGCACATCCACCCATTGCCCATGTTTAAGAAGCTGAAGGCCATTCACCATATCATCTTACAAGAGAAGAATTATTTCACCTGCATTTGTATGGGCATGAAGACCTTTCACCATTTCTAGCTTTGGATACGTAGGGTAATTTGCCACCTTTGTCCCAAAATTAGGACCTCTTGATCCATAAAACGCCCTCTTCAAGTACCCCTTCTCCAATCCAAGATTTTCATAAAGCATATCTAGCAACTCCTTTGCTAGTTTCTCCAATTTCTCCACAAATTCCTCCAATGCATCCTTAGACTTTACAATCATTACCATACATTCCATTCAGAAATTAAATGTACCAACAACATCACCATTGACTATTGGACCAATAGGTTTCCCATGCTCATCAACAATAACAAAAGGAGGAAGATATTGGTTATTGGCCTTTGGTTCTACCCTTAGCGTCTTTACAACTTTACCATCGATCTCAATATCAAAGAAAACCTTTTTTTCACTTCCTTCAATTCCTTCTTTGATTTTTTCGATTGGGTGAAAGTTAGGGTTCCTAAGAGGAGAAATGTATAGAGCAACAACAACATCATTTTCTCCATCGATAACTGTTGATTTTATATGTTTTTGTGTGTATACTTTCATAAATAAATCAACTCCTTCATAACTTTTATATTGCTTTGTCTCCAAGTTTAGTGTGTTTTAATGTTTCTTGTATTTTAGTTAATAAATGTTTGTTATACATCTAATATCTCTTTGAGTGTGTGAAATAAGGAAATAGGAAATAATTTTGGTGTAGGAAAACAAGCTATAACTCAAGGAAGCATGATTAGACAAGAAAAAATTATTTTTTGACAAATACCCACTTCAAGGACTCTAGAATCGCACCCAAGGCTGCAAACATAAAGAGAAAAATCCACCTGTAGCATTATATTGCCATGGTCCACCCTCGCACAACCAAAAAGTCACTATTAGGCGATAGGCTAACTCATTGGACAAGTTGGCTGGTCATTGGGCAACAATGACAGCCCACATTGTAATATATGAGTTGCTTGGTGAAACTATGGCTCGCCCAACCAGTTATAAGTCAGGGAGCATCGATTTTTAGGTCTCGTTGAGCGAGAATGAAGCCATTGGGTGGGTCTGTCAGCCCTGATACGCGAAAGTGGGTATTTAATCAGTTTTCTTGAGGGTTTTTGGGGATTCCTAATTTTATGCGAATAGTTACACCTAGGGTGCTTGGGAGAGACTCTTGGAGGTTTTTTGGAGTGTTTGGTAGCTCTCTCTATCTTCCTTGGTTTTCTCATTCATCCATGGTGGTTTTCCCACTTTTGGGGTTGCAGATTAGAGGTGGAAATGCGAAGGAGAGGTGCAATTGAAGCTTGGAGTAGGTGCTAGGTGTCTTGGAAAATGGCCTTCATCTTCTTTATGGTTTTAATTTATTCTCTATCTCTTGAATTTTTAAACCCTAGGTTCTCCACTATGGAAAGTTATTTCTGTTTGTTGAGATTAGATGTAAAACATTGAATTCTTGTGTAAAATTGTGTTGTTGATATATACATGTTTTTCTAATTCAAGTTAGCATTTGATTTTCATGCTCAGAGCTTGATATGGATTATTCCCATGCATGATTTCTGATTCTTGAGGTGTTGGGAAATATCTTTAGAATCAAAACTTGAAATTGAATGTCTAATGGATACTTGTATTTAGGATTAGAACTTAGTTCATTAGTAATCTTAGACTCTTGAAATTAATGCATGATCTCACATGGTGAGGATTTAAGGAATTAGAACTTAATGAGTTATCATAGGTTCAAAGATGTTAGGGATAGGATTTGAGTATGTTGGTGAGTTGATTTTGACTTGAATATGAAATTGAGATATTTTTGAATGCATGAGAATGAAGTTGATGAAATCTAATCTTGACAATTGTAAATACTCTATGTTACATTTCCTTTAAATCAACTGTTTCATAAAAATACAAAAAAAATATTTTGTTTTTGTTATCTTTGTGAATTACGAGAGTTGTCATGTGTTGTCAAGTCCCTTGGGAGAGAACGATATTTATCACTTGCTATGCTATGATCAGTGCATTTGTCGTTGGTTTTGCAACCAACATCCATCTGTGATCTCAGTTATGTCACTGGTTCATCTTTATTCAGTGGTATACTTATCATTGCTCCATTTACATATTCACTTGTTGAACCATCATTTATGTTGTGCGTATCCAAGATCTCACTATGTAAATGTTGTTTTGTGCTTCTATCACCAATTTTCAGGCTCTTACTCGATAACTCGGTATCCAAGCTCGACAGCTTAACACCAAAGCTCGACATCTCATCACCCAAGCTTAGAAGCTCTACATCTAGGCTTCTTGCCATGACCAAAATTCTTATTTGTTCATTAACTTCCTCCGTAAGAAGATTTGTCCCCTCCTTTCTCTCATCCCAACAATATTTTTCTATATGATCGGTCTTACCACAACAGTAACATTTGACCGATTGGCACTCATTCGCATAATGGTCATGCTTGCTAAATTCATAGCATTCAACATTATACTTAATTAACCGACCTACTCAATCTCCCCCTTTCCCATGACCACACCAGTTCTATTGATTGGTTTACTTTTTGTCATCATGATAATCACTTTGGCCATGACCTCGTTGTCCATGACCTTTTCCCTCAAGAACACCTTAGCCTCTAGTGTTCCAAGCACATCCCTTCAAGTCAAGTTTTTCCTGAAGTACCTGATCAAGTGGCTCAAACAACGTCCTCCTCTATTGCTCATGTGCCTCAAAAGATCCAACAAGCTCTTCAATCGAGTGCATGGTCAAGTCCTTTGACTTCTTAGTTACACATACAATATTCTCAAAGTCCTTTGTCAACGACCTTAAGATCTTTTCCACAATTCAGCTGACAGACAACTCCTCTCCATTTCTTTCGAGTCGATTCATTACCACTTCCACCCAAGATATATACTCGATCAATCGTTCTCTACTCTCCATTCCCTAACTTTCAAACTCGTCTCTAAGATTTTGAAGTCTAACTTGCTTTACACAATTATCGTCTTTGTAAACTTTCTCAAGAATCTGCCACGCTTCTCTTGAAGATTTATCATTCACTACCTTTTCAAAGAAAAATTCATCAATAACTTTGTACTATATGTATTGGTCTTATTGATCCATTACCCATGATCTTCATAATGTAGCAACTTGGGCTACTGTCTACTCTCATCTTCCGTAGGCTTTGTGTAACCACTTACACCAACATCTCACACGTCTTGGGATAGAAGAAGGGCTCTCATCTGCAAACTCCAATTGTTAAAGTTCACTTTCCTTTTCAATTAAGGAAGTGACACAATGTTTTGTTAGGTTGGTCATCTCTCTCACTATCTCTTTCTCACTTGAACCATTAGGTTCTCTCAACTTTGATGTCAATTTGTTAGGAAAGTGAAACTCTTAGAGTTTTCTTAATATTCTTATGATGACTTTTACACAATGTGTCAACCAAACACTTACAATTTATAAACTTACATATTAGTTTTTCATCTACAAAGTTATGAACTCTACCATTGAGACATCATTTATTCTTTATTATTATCCTATAACCACTATATTAATCTAGTAACCCTA